GGGGTAAAAGGCCAAGATGAGTATTTTGGTAGATTTGAGGTACCAATCATCACCAATAAGCCATGGACCAATGAGAACCCCATTTTGGGTCCCCTACATAGTTGTCTTAGCCAAACCATAGCCCTAGGGCTAGTAGGTTTAGGGGACCATTTACATGAGTATCCCAAAAGATCAAGGGATCTAGGCTAGAAATTTGAGTTTAGTGTAGTGAGTGATTGTGAGTGTAGATAAGTGTAGTGAGTGCCTTAGCTCCAGACCAACACTCAAGGTCAACCCTAAGGTCTAGCAATCCTAAGGGTGACTCATCCTGAGTTTCCCCCACAGTGACCCCACCTACTAAGTGTTTAGAGGTTAGGACCAATATGTGGAACTTCAAGTTGAGTGGAGAAGAGGGTAGCATTTCTAATGGTGAGGGTGCCATGTCTAGTTTTCTAGGAATAGTCAACAAGAAAAGTCCTATGGCTAGACCCTAGGCTACTAAAAAGGAAAAAACTAAACCTCAACCAAAAATGAGGTCAACAGGGACGTCACCTTAGTTACATATTTGTTCTTGTTTTAATAGGAATATTACATGTAATTAATGCATCGTTACACCTTTACATATTTGTAACTAACTCCGAGATCCTTTGATATTCATAACTATCATTGTCACAATTTTGTATTAATTACTATTTGAAGTGAGGTATTAATAATCAGCTGATATTTGCATTCAGTTGAATCGTAATCATTCGGATGACTGAAATGTCATTGGTGGGCTAGAAGGTCTTCAGTCAGCTGGAAGGTATTCAGTTAGCCATCTCAGGAAAACCTCCTATAGAGACCTTATCGCTAGGGTGACCATTTGAAACAGGGTGAGTCAGCGTAATCTGATGTGCAACTCTCCTTCCGACAAGAGGTCTTCATAGAGGTATGGGATGATCATTGATGAACCTTCACAAGAATCCCATAATCAGTTCAGGGAGTTGATTATATATGATTGTCCCTCAGACCAAGCGCTTAATGTTTCTTCGTTCGGATGCACTTCCCTTTGCCTTGCAGATAATTCCGGCTGAATGAAGCGACGCTTGACTCTTCTGTCATTCGACAATTCCCATGCAGTCCTTTGGTATCCTTTTAAGGAGATCCGTTGAACTTCAACTAGATTCATGCGGTCATATTTTTTATGTACAATATATATATATATATTCAATATGAACTGCAAGCGGATTATAGGATTTGTCCGTTTGGGGCAGCTTATTTGGTGCGGTGGCGTTTTGAAAACGCACTTGACCTGTTTGGGTAAACTGCGTTTTCACAGCTTATACGTTTTCAAAACGCTGAAAATAGCGTTTTCACACCGCACCTGTCTAGGTGCGGTGGCAGCTTTCTGATTGCGATCTGACTTTTTCAAAAAAAATAAAAATTTGTAATAACTACACCCAGCTTATCAGCAGATTATTTTTAATCAGCTTATCAACAGATTATTCAATAAGTTGCAGCTGCGAAGGTCCGGTTAAAATGGACTGCTAACGAGCCTAATCAATATCTAGTTGTGAAGTTGCGCGTTTATGGAACAGAAACCAAAGATTTCTCATATCATCCTATCGTTTATTTGATCACACGGACATGTTGTCAGCATTGCCCTTCTACGCTTCCAGTCCTATCTTCCAATCTGCTCATGGTTCCAATTTTCCTTCATCTTTCGTTTAGTTATTAAATTTTTTTTTTTCTAGCTTCACGCTCAGTCCCATTGTTTTCTTTTACCTCTCAGCTGCTCATTTTGAAGCAGAAGGTTAACCCAAGTTTTTGTTGTGGCAGGGCTTCTAATAGAGCGGAGATGTCATATGAGGTTCTTTGTGAGTTTATCTTTTTCTTCAATTTCTTTGATCATTAACAATTTTGACGCTTGTGTGCTTTAAATTGAGAAAATATCATGAGGGGAAGAAAATTGTGTTTTGTGGAAAATTATGTGGACTTGTCGGACATGGCATTCTTGCAGTATAATCTTTCATTTTGGAAGAAGAGCGAGTTAAAACCCTAATTGGAAGTGTGCTAACTGAGATGAACAAAACACAGGTTAAAACATAGGAAACTTTTAGTTAGTTTAATGGAATACTGTAGTAGGTGGCTAGTAGTATGCCATACGCAAGGCGTACCTAGTGCATGATTTTGTAGTCAATCCGACTCGAGCCATTGATGTTGTTCTGTGGAATTAATATAACGACTACTTCAGGTCTACCTCTACCCTCTATTCTTGTAGAAATGAATTGTTTGTCAGATGTCATCGGCAAATTCCTAGAACTTCTTGTTTAAAGGGAATAATGCATGATACACCTAGAAAGCAGACATAACTTTTGTTTTCTAGACAGGATGTTATTCTCTTATTTTCTCATTAAAATAGCTTGACCATGTCAATAGTAGTTTTGTGCTCCAGAGATGTGCTAAATTGCTGTTCTAGCTCAGCTAAAGCGTTTGTTTGAAGTAAACACCGACGGACTACTAAATCCTTCTATTGTTCTTGCTATTTTTATCCTGAACCATTCTCTTTAGATTCTGTTGCTTTTCTAAATCCTGATTAAAACTTGAATGATTGAGATTAATTAAGATCCGTGTGTTATTAATGCATGGTTGAGAAATTGGGCTGGGATTTTATAACATTTTCTGGATGCATTCTGTTGAAGGCATCTAAGCTGAATGAAAATTTAATGACAATGAGGTGAAACTTGAGATGCCTGCCACTAAGTGACGTTATTTGACTTTTGCTTTGGCTTTTGTATCAATGTTTTGTGAAGTAGTGAGTTACTTCCATCGGAGATGGTTATGGATAAAGAAGTCTCCTTTTAACCCGGTATTCAAGAAAAAGCTTGGTTTTTTAGTGTTTTATGCTGATATTAGCGATCAATGCATATTGATATTAACAATGGATGTTTATCTCTGAGGCAAGTCTTGAATTATTTGTGTTCATCCTGCCCTGCATTTATTTACAGCTGAAGCGTTAAACTTTATATTTTCTCGAAACAAATTGAACATTAACATTGAGTGGGAGTCAAAATCATTATGAAATCTATTTAAACTTTGAGATTGTACAAAAATAAAATGCTGTCTGAAGCTCCCCATTATGATATGAGGTTTGAAAATTGAACTATATTTTTCTGTTAATGAGGTCTCACACCACAATCTCGGGTCTACTGTTTAAAGTGATGATCTTGATGGGGTTGTTTTTAGTAGAATTCAAGTGTGTGATAGAAAAGTACTGCTTAGACTTGAAGGAAAATCTTATAAGATAGTGGTGAGACTTGCAATGCTCTATGGCGCTGAATGTTGGCCTTTAAAAGAGAAGCATAAAACCAAGTTAAGTGTTGTCGAGATGAGAATGCTTAGGTGGAGGAGTGGCTTTACACTTAGATACAAAATGCGAAATGAATATATCCGTGATAGGGTTGGTGTTGCTCCGGTGATGGAAAAAAATGAGAGAGTCATCTCAGATGGCTTGGTCACATTAAACATCGACCATCTGATGATCCCATAAGAAGAGTAGATGTTTTAGATTCGACTTATGTTAAGAAAGACAAAGGTAAACCTAGGAAGATTTGGGCTTATTATATAAAAAATGATCTTAATTTATTAGAATTAAATGAAATTTTTTCACTAAATAGGACACAATGGAGAAAAAGGATTCATGTAGCCGACCACACTTAGTTCGATAAAGGTTTTGTTGTTGTTGTTGAGGTCTCACACCTTAGATTGGGATTGCGTATACACTGCACTTGTTAGTCCTATATAACATAAAAGGTGTGTAGAATGTTACTTGTAACTCTTTGATATTTATGAATTTTTTCAACAGTCAGCTAAATCTTCATGAGAACATTAAACATAGTTATAACCCACTGTTTGCAATCTTCTCAAAACAGCATTGGCTTTTTCATTGGCTTTTTTCTCTTGGACTTGGGCAATTATGAATATTTTCAGATTTATTCTTTTCTAGGATTGCTCCTGAAAATTTAACGTAGAATTCATAATTTCTTTTTATTTATTTATTTTACCTTTTTTGTTCATGAATACGTGACATTTAGTTTTTTTCTTGTTCCATTTATGCAATCACCAGTGATCGATTAATTAAAAGGTATAGATTAGAATGCCCTGGTATAAGATTAAAAATGAAGTGGAAAATAGTCAAGGGATCTAAGAGTGTGACAATGTTAAAAGTACATTACTGAAGCTTGACATAACATCAATAACTAACACTCATGTGGAAAGCCTTTCATTTTTTGGCTCCCAATAGCTTCAATATTTAAAATCTGATTCTCTTTTTGGTAATAATGGGCATTTGTGGCAGAAGAAAAAGACGATGGAGAGAGCTAGAATAATGATCCATTCTAATTAGCGAGTATGAAGTCAACAGTGAATTTCATTACTAGTGGAATTTCTCTCTTAAAACAACCAAATTCATTCTGCCTATACTAACAGTCACGTCAATTCTCCTTGTGTTATGCATTAATAATGTATTTTATTTTTGTTTTCCAGACATTTTTAACATTTTTTTAATGAAAGTATAAATTAAGATATCTAAACATGTTTTTATTTGATTGAAAATAGATTTAGACATAGGTAATGTGATTCATGGATGACTGGATGGGATATTCTAAGCACTTGTTTCATGCTCATTTGCTGCACTCTTGAACATTTTGTTGTAGCTTCGTAATTGCATCTCATTGATTGAATCATTTTATATTTGAATGGCTTTGTTTTCTCTTTATCTGATCCATAAATTTTAGATTAACTGCAAGAGTGATGTTTCTCAGATCTCAGTGTATGACTCATTGGAGTTTTTCTTCTTCACATAAGAATATATTGCCTAAACACTTTCCATTCTGTGACCGGGGCACATTGACAAGCTGTGTATTGCTTTGCAAATATTTGTTGAGCACATAATTACTTTAATTAACCTTACTTTTTATTTAACCCATAGAGTTATTAAGGAGGCAGCTGAGCCTATAGGACTACTCATAGGAGGGCCCTTGAAGAAGGATTTGGAAGATAGACCTACGTAGGAGACTAACCCAGTAGAGTTAGGTCTTGAGCCTGAAGAACCTAGGGAGAATCTAGCCAAAGTTTTAGAAACCCTTATTTACTTGTTAGGGATCCATTTCATGCAACTTGCAAGGAAAATATTGATTTGCCAAAGGGAGAGTTAATGGGGAGATTTTTAGACCTAGAAAACACCCTTATGAAAGTCTAATCAACCCCGTATATACCCTCTGGAGGACTATTATCAAACTAAGAAGAAAAAGTCGCAAGAATCTGAAACTTGAGGATTTAGTGAAACCTCTAGAATCAACAAAAAAATTAGAGATTGATTGGGGATTTTTAAATTGAAATTTTGATCCTAGAGAAGTATTTTAGGTCTGGTTGAGTACGTTAAACCAAACACTATTTTGGGAGGTAACCCACGTGTTACCTTAGGTTTGGAGCATTTTTTTTACTTTTGTTTGTTTTGCATTTGTTTTAAATTTTATTTTGAAATTTGCTTGAATTTTGTTGGAAATTATTTCAATTGTTTTTGTTGCTTTATTTATGCAAGGTTCATATGTGTTTGGATGGAAGTCTTAAGCGCGTTTATTGGACATTGCTATATTTACTTTTGTTGATCTTCATGTGGTGATGTTTTATTATGTTGACTTGTCTGGTATCAAATTTCTTTTTATTACATGCTATGATACTGTCTTTTCCTGCTATTTTTCTTGTGGCATGTATAGGATAGAAAACAAGTTTACGGGAGGGATTGTGGCATGTATACTTGCTTTAAAGAAATCTTTTTATTGAGCTGTTAGATTATATTTTTTCAGTGGTAACTCATGCTATAAATCTTAATAATTTAATGGGATTATGTTATAACATCATTAGAATGTGAATACTCATTCCTAAGTCCACCACCACTCAAAAATCCTTGCATTGCTGATTTATTAAACTAGCCACCCTCAAATTTTTTTCCCAGCCTACATCATTCCTATACATTCTCTTCTACCCACACAAACCTAAACATTAGTCATGCCACCATTGAGACAATAGCTGGATCCGATCATTAGTTTATCATGAAAGAGAAACAGTGAATACTACGTTAAGTGCCTAAAATGACTCTATCAAATTGAGGAAAGGAGACCATCTAGATGGGGTCACCTATAACCAGAATGGTTTCTTGATAGATCGAATGAATGGAGTGAATCTATTACACCTTATGGATGTCAGAGATGAAAATCTCTACCTTGAAGATTTGACCTAAAATATTTGAGAAGCCAAAATTTTCAATAAATGTGGACTCGCCATATTTTGATGACCACTGAGATTTGGATGAGTTTATTGAATGGCTCCAGAACGTGGAACTTTTCTTGGAATACTAGGACTTCCTATTGGACAGAATGGTAAGAGCAACTGCCAATAAGTTAAAGAAGAGTTTGTTGTTTTTGTGGGAAAATTTGAAGTACTTATGGAAGCATGTGGAAAAGATAAAATCACTACTTGATCCAAGATAAAACGAAAAATGCAACTCCGGTATTACCAGCTTACTATTGTTCGAATGTTCACTCTCTAGCTTCAAAAGTGGAGAGGCACCACAACTTATAGCAGAGCTCAACCCCTGGATTGAGGTGTAAAGAATATACCATGGGGAACATTCAAGTCCCCACTTCAGGAGAAATTGATTCAAAATGAAGAATAGGTAATGTCAATCTGCATTCCCAACTCCATCCCAGACATGAAGTGTTTCAAGTGTCACAAATTTGGACATACTGAATCAGATTGCACAACCAAAAGAATGATCTCTTTTATGGATTAGAAAGTGGTTGAAGTCACTGAGCCA